TGTTCCTTGCAAATACTAACTTTAAGCATAAGGAAAATCATCTTTTAACATGGCGACCCCCTAATTCGTCCCAACGTTGGACCCAAATAGATCACATCGCTATCAGCCACCGATGGAGGGGCTCGATAGAAGACTGTCGCTCATTCTGGAGCACATGCCTAGATTCAGATCATGCTCTAGTGCGAGCGCGTATTTGCTTGCGTCTTACTGGACGTAGGAAAGACGCTGCAAGGAAACCTCTTAGGGGCCTACTTAATGATAGTCAAGCTAAGAGTATATTTCAGGAACAACTAGGAAAACAGTTATGCAGCCATATAGGTGATGCCCACCCTGAGGCAGCATGGAATGATATCCGAAAAGCTGTGGAAACAGCAGTGATATCTGCTAGTAAGGTAAACCACAAGGTTAGGGAGCAACACTGGATCTCAGCAGCATCTATCGCACTGATAGATGCTTGGAAACTCATTCCACTTGGCTCTGAACATAATGAAGATCGGAGTCAGCTTAAGCGCAAGCTGACAAGAAGCCTACGCAATGATCGCGAACAGTGGTGGGTAGCGAAAGCAAGAGAGATGGAAAAGGCAGCGGCAATAGGTAATAGCAGACAATTGTTCAGACTCGTTAAGGAAACCTGTATTAGGAACCCGACCGTTAGCGAAACAATCTCAGAGAAAGATGGACATATTATTCATTCTCAATCCAGGAGATTGGATCGATGGGCAGAACACTTTAGGGGTCAGTTCAACTGGCCTTCAGCCACACTTCGGTTTCCCACGATCTCTAGTCAACCTGAATGGCAAGTTAATGTAGGTCCTCCGTCCCTTTACGAAGTTGAAAAAGCCATAGGAAATCTGAAACGAGGGAGAGCAGCAGGTCCTGACAGGTTTACTCCTGAGATTTTTAAGGATGGTGGTTCAGTATTAGCAGTGAGATTAACTGAGGTCTTAGGTAGAATTTGGGAACTGGACGTAATCCCATCTGACTGGTCTCAATCACTGATTGTGCCAGTCTATAAGAAAGGACAAAAGTCCTCTTGTGACAATCACAGAGGAATCAGTTTGACTAATATAGTGTCTAAAATATTAGCTTCAATAATACTTCGACGCCTAACCAAAGCTCGTGAAGAACAGACTAGAGAAAATCAGGCTGGTTTTCGACCTGGACGTGGTTGTATAGACCAGATATTCACACTAAGTCAGGTTCTAGAACACAGACACACATTCAGACGCCCCACAATCGTAGTATTTCTCGACCTTAAGGCGGCATTCGACTCCGTTGATCGTGAGGTTCTATGGCAGTGTTTGTCACTGAAAGGAGTACCAAAGAAGTACATTAACCTTATAAAGGCTCTCTACTCGAACACAACTGGTAGAGTGAGAGTTTATGGCGAACTGTCATCAGAATCGATTACCTCAAGTGGTGTTCGTCAAGGCTGTCCACTCTCCCCATTCTTGTTCAACTTTGTGGTCGACGTACTTTTAGAGATAACACTCTCCTCATCTAAATTTCCAGGGGTTGAACTTCTACCGGGAGGTTCACTTGTTGACTTAGAATATGCAGATGACATAGTTTTATTTGGTGAAGACGCTGACAAAATGCAGAGTCTTCTGACCACTCTAAGCAACAATGCAAGCATGTTCGGGATGCGATTCTCTCCCTTGAAATGCGAAATGTTGCTTCAGGATTGGGTTGTATGGACACCCGAACTAATGATAGGGAGTGAAGTAATTGAGCGTGTCGATCGCTTCACTTATCTTGGAAGTCTCATCAGCCCTTGTGGTCTGGTGTGTGACGAAGTATCAGCACGGATACAGAAGGCTCAACTAGCTTTTGCCAACTTGCGTCATTTATGGCGTAGGCGAGATATCCGTCTATCAACCAAAGGACGGGTTTACTGCGCAGCAGTTCGTTCCGTCCTTCTTTATGGCAGTGAAACATGGCCGGTTAGAGTAGAGGATATTCGTAGGCTACTAGTATTCGATCATAGGTGTCTTCGAAACATTGCTCGTATATCCTGGGACCATCGATTAAGTAACACAGTTGTTAGGAAACGAGTACTAGGTAAGGATGGCAAATCAATTGATGAAGTAGTGAAACTTCATCAGTTGAGGTGGCTGGGACACGTGTTACGTATGCCCAACAACCGACTGCCTCGACGTGCGATGTTCAGTGGTATAGGAGTAGGTTGGAAGAAAGTTAGGGGCGGCCAAACCAAAACATGGCACAAGTCCATGAAGTCACTGACAAGTGGACTGAGTCATGTTGGTAGGTGTAGACTACCTGGTTGGGGACTGCGAGATGATAGCAACGGATGGTTAGAGACCCTGAATGACATGGCTCAAAATCGTTTGCAATGGCGCAGGTGCATCCACTCTCTGTGTTCTCCTAAATTCTAATCTTCTGAATTCTTCATGTCCCTTTTTTCCTCTTTCCAAATTTATTTCACTGGATTATACTCCTTGAATAACATCTCCAAACCCTAATCTTCCCGATTACTGCTTATACTCTTATTACCTCTACCACTACGGGATTTGAATCGACAACTGCATCTCTGTGCTTATGTGGTGTGGCAACTCGAACTGATGTACGTACGTACGAAGTTCTACGTTGTTACTGACTGACTAAAGTCATAGTTAATTCTGTGATACATGTTTACGAAATCAAACTATTTATCAAAATGTAAACAATCTTTAGCCAAATATACTTGGTCTAGCCATACCTTAGATTAATGGGTAGACTCTGAGACTAGACAACGATTGCTAAGAATGTAAGGATAATAAGTGTTTAGGTGTGTTAGTGTCCCATGTTTCATACTGCGGCTCATTCAAACCGGTTCTGATATTTTTACAAAGATTTTTTCCTGATATGAGTCTAAATCAACTGATTGGACAATGGTCTAGTCTAAAAATAATTAACATACTTGGAAGACATTATAAAAATATTCATAATGTTATAGATTTCGTATCGTACAGTCTTTGAGACTTTTTTATCTCCTGAAACGAACACAAGAAGGAGAGAACGTGAACGGGGAAACGTCTTGACTTCCAGTAGTGAAGATTAGTGTTCAAACCAGAGATAGGCACAATTGATATTACACGATATCATGGAAAACCAACACAACTTTCGACACAGTGAATTAACTTGTCTTTCAGAACATGGAAATCTGAAATATAACCAATTCACCAACATTCTTACATAATGCTAAACCACTCAGAATGTATTCCATCTCATATGGATTAACATTAGCAATACAAACTTAATAAAAAGAAGCAAAACGCAGAACAAAATACAGTGCTGTTAGATGTATAAGGACGGTCATCACTTCCTGGCCGCCCACACCGTGGAAGTGTTCTTCCAGAGGTACCTGAAGAGGAAATCGGGTTAGGGGTGGTCTTAGTGACCTGAGAATCTGACCGCAGTGCTCAAGGGGTAACTGCTTGAGGCCGGTCACACACGACCTTTTTGTGAGTAATTTTCGTGTTACCTCTGCACTTGTTAAGACCTTACCGCCAGAGACGGAAATCCATGGGATAATGTGAGGTGTAGATTTTTAGGGTCGACCTTTTCTAACCCCACCCTTCGTTGTGAGAAGGCAGCATCGCTGTTACGCTGGTTGCCTGAAATAAACACCTTACCGCCATCACACCTCTGTACAGTCAACAGTACGACTTTGCCTTGGGTTTGGTACTTTTATTCTTATCGCTCTTCAAACGACCTGTTTGGCATGGTGAGACCCTGAGGAACGATTGTTCTAGCTAGTATATTCCTATTGGTTCATCACAATAGGCAAGCCCGACTAACACGTCAAGGTAGCAACAACGAAATACGGCTTCTACAATAGTTTATAGTAATGACGGAAGTGACGTACACCCCGCCACCAGCTTACGCTTCTGACTGATTACTTAGATAAGTGACGGGAACGTGTGTCATATGTACTTAGTCACCGTCTACCTTGATGGACCATATAGAGCAGTGTAGGCTTATGCCATGAGAAAACTAGGGACGATCAAATCAATACTCAGCATCAGTTCATGAAGTTATTGGCTACTGAATTGAGTCATGTACGTATATGCAGACTTCGTGGTTGTGCTCCACTCGATGAACTCAACCAGTGATTGGAGACGGGTAACAGCTAAAAATCGTTCACAATAACACAAACATTCGTTCTTTATCTTTTTCTTGATATTTAATCCTAGCATTTCTTCATACGTACCTGCTGTGTCGTCTCATTCCATATTCCCAATGTTCAATTGTTCTCATCATTGTTACTACGCTTTTCCAATCTATTTCACAGTTCATCTTGTCATGCTAATTGATTGTGTCAATGTGGGCCAACTCATATTAGTGCCACGCTATACTAACTGATTGGCAGGACAAAAAATTAGTAGTTCTGAGATTAGATGTAAGAAATTAAATACACATGGTAATTTAGTTGATGAAGCTGTGGATTTTCGTTTATTGAAGTGGCTGAGACATCCTATATATACCCAGTCATCTCCACAATCACACAATGTTGTGTGGTTTGAGTTGGTTGGGAGGAAGTCAAAGATAGCTAGTTCAATGCGTATCATCAGTCCATTAAGTCGTCAGTGACTCTCGTACCAAGCCATTTAATTAGATTTCGAGAGTACTTCATCTTGGCCAACTCGTTAACCGTGATTAATGAATGATATGGTTCAAAGTCGATCTCTGTGGTCCAGATTCATTAATTATTTTTCTTCTTCGACACTTCTAGTACCGAATTTGTTTCATACTTTTTCGCTAATTTATTCCCTTCTGAACCATGTTCTTGGTGTTCTATTTATAACTATCATAGATACCGCAATTTCCCCACTCTTTTGCTATACTCCATGTTAATTTTACCTATGTGAAACAAAATTGTTTCGGATTTGTGCTCGGTTTATAACTAACTGAAGCACTTAATACGAATTCTTAAAACTTTGTTTCAACAAAACGGAAAACTATGTATTTTTGTTTTTACTTATTCGTCTTTTTTGTAGATGGCGTCAATGCAACTCCCGAAGCCTCATGTGATCTCACAGTACCTCGTGATACTCTTTTAGAATATCTTGTCAATTGTTCTGATTCCTGGTTTCAAAGTCTCGGTATATGTTCCGTTTGTTCGGTTCGTTTATGTCGGTGGGCTGGAACTCTCGGACCTAAATTCCCAGCAACGACGACAGATATTCGCCTTGGGATGTCTGTGGCACAACAAGCCGCAGCTATTATGGCCACCAGTACTTCGTCCAACATGGTACCATCACATGTCCAACATCTACTGAACCTGACAAATCCCAATAATCGTTCTGAAGTGTATGAGCGTCTCTGTCGTGATGCTAACCCAGCTGCCGTAGCCATAATTGAAGATATGCCAGTACATGAATTCCTTCGCTCAAGAGGCAACTACTGTCAATCCCCATGGGTTGCAATCTCGAATAACGGTGTATGTTGTGGTGGTCATGCTTGTGATTTGGTGATTACTCATCGCGAGTTAATGCGTCATTCTTTATGTCGACCTTGCCTCTCCTCGTTTTGGTCTTGGGCTAACAAACATATCGCTTGGTGGCGTTGGTCGTTTTCTACAAATGATGAACAATCTCTAAATTCTACGTCAAATGCAAACAGTACAGCAGGTTGTGTACCAACTCCTATATCCTTTGGAGTAAGTAAATAACAGATTTGTACTTACTAACGCGTAAAAATAAGGTATTATTCCTTTTTACTCTGTAATGAAATCAAAACCAATTGCAACGTCGCCCAACCAAGCTATATGTGCAGATCATAGCTACTGATTACTAACCTTTGATGTATGCAACAACCTACACTTGGAATATACAGTCTTACTTGTCAGTTATATTAAGTTAGTTTTTGCAGTTCTATACGTCAAATAAGTTCTAATAGATTTGTATTTTTAACAAAGACCCCTCGATTTATCATTTTTCATTCGACTGGTAAAGGATAACTCAAAGTAATCTTCTAACCGCTCATCCTTATAAATACAAACTTACGTTCTTGGTCGATGGTTTTCGGGGAAAACATTGACTAGAACTGGTGCTGCAGTTAGAAATTCTAAGGAAGGTAAACACATATGAAGTCTCTTTGATCGTGTTTTTGGCACGTCTGTTTACCATGTTATTTCAGTACGTGGGATTGAGTAAGAAAGTGACTATCGACACCAAATATGACTTTAATCTGTGAAGTCATCAACATGATATAAAGAGTAGTTGAGTTCCTAGATAGATTCTTTTAGATAATGGCTATCAATGGTTGAAAATCGTCAGTCTCTTAATTCAGGTTTAGTCACATTGGCAAAAAATGGTTTTAATTTTTTCCCTTAAGTCCCAAATACTTTATTATTGGTCATTAATCTGCGTTGACATATATTATTGCTCGATTATTCTTTTTACCTTATATATCGTCAACTATGGTGACTTGAGCTTATCACTTGTGCAAAATTGTAGTTTCGGCTTTCTTTCAGTATCTGAGTTAGTAATATTAAATTTAGGTTGATTATTTCACAATAATATGATTAATCTGTTATAGATTTAGTTCATTATAGCCTGTGTTTAATACCACGATTTTGGCATCATATTCATTTCATTGTTCTTAATGTTTATCCAGAAAACGAATAATGCGGAAAAGTCTTCTGATATTGAGCCTCCTGCTGGCATTTGCATCCAGTGTCAAGCTAAAATGTCCTTACAATTACAATCATCACCCAGTGTGTCACTGACATGTAACCAATCTCCCGTTTTATCTCATGGAGCGGGTTCTGAACTTAAGGAATCCGACGTCCTGTCAGTTAATGGAAAAACCTCTAAATCTCTCCGCTTAATGCCGCTTGCAGCTTTGGATCTTTTGCGTTCAAGGTTGAGTAATGCTCATGAAGTTACTCCAGTAACTTATGTAGCCACCGACTTAATCAACGATTTTGTTTTCAGTCAACACATCAAAAAACTGTTAATCAATGGCAGTGATTCCGATCTCAATTTATCTCATACCCTGTGGGACTCAAATATTACTATACCTTACAATCAGGTGGGACAGATAGTCGTGTGTGCCTCTTCTTCATCTAAGGTATGTTATTTCCCATGATGACAGTTTCGGTCATTTTTGTATTTAGACTAAGGAATTTTTAAATTAAATATTTACGAGGTTACTCATCTTTTTCTCACAAACGCACCTTTATTCGTTTGATAATAATAAAAGCAGTAGTGCAGCCAAAATATGCCTTTTTGGTCTACGTGTCTAGTGTTTTGGATATCGCTGGAGTTGTTGGTCAGCATTTTTTCTCCCTTAGATCCACTAAATCTAGGTTTTAAGCTGCTGATGTCAAATATTATAATTACTATTTTTGACCGTGAGGTGCGATCATTCCATCCATAGATAAGGTTTGTAAGAATATCACCACGAAAATAAAGCGGAGCCAACCGAAACTAAAGAAAAAGTGGTCACTAGGTAAATTTGTAATATATGTGTACCGTGCAACTTTATTGGAAATCCTTGTCTATTCATTTTGTTGCTCATACTCCATACACAAATCTCTAACCAGCTAACTATGTATCTCAGTGAAATTTTCATAATTATTGTTACTAATTTTACCCCCTAATACATACCTGTATTATAACGTGATTAGTCACATTGGTTTAAATTCTGCAAATTCATATTTATGATGGGTATTTCGGTTATTACTTGTAATTGTACAAAAGTTGCTACCGAAAATATGTAACTGCTTAGATTCTCCCTAAAACAGTTGTTGCGTTGTTTCTGTCAGATTGCACCCACAAGCACATTCATCCTGGATTAAATAGTAACGTAAACTAAGCTAGTAGAAATTCGTTTTTTCTTATTGTTATCATTGAACGTAAAAGCATAGTGACGACTTAACAGCCTTCCTACCTAAGCACAACCCTGAAACTAAATAGTTCGGGCTTTGTGTCCAGCGATCCCTAAGTAATCGCTCTTGATAGATAGAAAAAGATTATCTCGGTCATTGATAGGGTTATTTAGGGCGTAAAACATATCTATAGCAAAGGTTCGAGATATGAGCCAAGGCTTCAATGTCACTGCCAAATTCAATCTATCCATTTGACGCAAATTGGACAAATAAAGCTCACCCAAAAGGTAGTCCAATGATAATAATTATCTAGTGGCACAAAACGTTTCTTGTGTATAGAAATTTTAAGATAGAAACTAAATGTATTGAAAAAAACTAATCCATAGGAACGTAAAACAGAAATATAGTATTGTTTAAATATTGAAATCAGTGTTAATTTATTTTATCGTTTGTTAATTTGCATGAAAAAATCTCAATTATCTAGATTTGTTTTGATGGTATAGAGGCTCCAAGGCTTATATCAGTAATACAATTTCATGACCGTTGTTGTCACTCGGCTAAAGCTTATCATTGTTTCCATCCACTGATTAGTATCCTACTCATTGACTAGCGATCAGAAGTTCGCTCATCAAAAACCTTTTATAATAGTTGTTTATGATCGTACAATGTAATTTGCAGATTTTGGAATAAAAATGAAACTGCTTTATATTCCTGTACAGTCACTGAATTGCATTGATTTTGTACACAGTGGTTCGTAGAGCTATGTATTATTTTCCATCTTTGTAATTATATGTTATTGATTCTATTGACTGTTTGTTAATTTTGATCTTTCAGCGTCGAAAAATGGATAATCAATTTCAGAACAAAATACTTTTTAGTCAGTGTGGTAGTCAATTATCTTTTGACAATAGCTCAATTTTAAAGCCCGTGCTCATGGATTCTTATCCAAAAGATGAATTATTTGGATCTAAACTTCCGAACACTCTTCTAACGTGTAAATATCGTTTGCCGCAGGAGGCCTCTGATTTGGGCGCATACACGCGCGACAACCCTGATAACAATTGGAATTATCCACGTCCTGCTACCGTTCACTACACTTCTAGTGTCATACCTTGGATGTCATCGTCGATTTTCCCGTACGTCCAGACTGGAGCTTCTCTGTTAAGATCTCCCCGCCAACTTACCGATTCTCTTTCGGAATCCACTATTGTGGATCAAATTTCAGGGTTGTCAACTAACAAAGTCTCTGTGAACGATACACAGCATGTCGACAGTTGTGAAACTGATCCATGTGAAGGTAATCCTACATTATTTTTAGTTGATGTTATTTATAAATCCTATGTTGTTTCTCAAACTTCTTACCCACAAACCCTCTTGGGTAAGAATAGGGATTAATTCTCATACGGCGAGACTATAATTTATGGACGAAAGAATCAAATATAAGATTAAAGGTTTTGGATTTTGGCGCGAATTTCATTCATCCATTTGCTTAAACAGCGTTTTTGGCATTTCAGATTATGTCAGATCGTGATGAAAAACATAATTCTAGTTTCTCACCATAGTTTATAACCGTCATTTAATCCTAGTTAGTATGTGGACATTCTCAAGGTCGCTTCAGCGTCGCTCAAAGGTCTTCCATAAACTATAGTCTCACCATTCATACCTTATTCTCAAAGTTCTAAAGATCTCTCATTTTCGGCCCGTTTACTGTTACTTCTACCAACTAATCTACCTTCGATTAATTTTTTTCTTTACAACCACACAGTACTTGCCATTTATTAGAGTAAACTTCATGATTTGGAGCTTGTAGACGCTTGTCCGTAGATGTGTGCATCGGTGGGTTTCCGAAGTAGTCATGATATTATTAATGTGAATGTTCGCTTAGACTCAGCGAAGTCATTATTTGCTTATTTCATCACTGCGATGCTAGTTAAATTAACAAACTGTTGGGAATGCTAGATCCCCAAAACTCACTTGGGAAACGTCTTATTTTTGTAATTTATTTTGGAAATTTGGATTTCTTGTTTTCGCACCAAAAGCGCCCATTTTCACCTTCATATCGTATTTCCCACTTAAGGGGACATTAAATGTCATTGATGCGTTGTCTCTTTGGATATGTTATTTTGTAACGTTTTCAAGAACATTTTTATGCTGTATATATACGCTTCAGTTGTGCTTGTCCTTGTTCCTGTTTATGGGATACATTTTCCCTCTTCTGAACCTGGACTTCTCTCTATTGTTAGTGGGACTGAGACACATCGGATTAGTTAGCTTATTTGGTCATTGTGTCACTGAATCTTCGTTCCATTTGCCGATTTAGGTGATCTCGTAGTCTCTTCAAACATAGCACAAACCTAGACTGTTGTGACCCGTTGTACATATATAAGGTTTGGACTCTTCAAACTATTAACTTAACTGTCAGATTGTAGGTTTGAGTTTCCAGGTTAAGGCAATTACTTCTGCTACCCCTCGTGACGAAGCATAGGCCTCCCATCAGCATTCCCCATCGAATTCTATCTTGGACAATCCTTTCCATTTGCTATCCATCCTTTTCATAACTGCTTCCGATTCTCGACACAGTGTGCTTTTTGACCTTCCTCTTTTCCGTTTCCCTCTAGCATTCCAAATTAGGGCCTGCCTCGTGGTTCAGTTTGATTTCTGTAGTGTATGTCCTGTCCACTTCCGTCGTTTAAGTAGTCACATGTTATATATCTATTTATTTGCCCACTACATCATTTCGTATACCATTGTTAAGTTGATTTTGTTATCTGTAACGAAATCTTTTAGTTTCAACTAATTCTCGTACCTGATGGTAGAAAAAACATTTCATGAGAAAATAAGAGTTACAACATTTCACAAGGGTAACTTTTTCCGTATATTTATTCAGTTACTCTGCAAGTTTTGCCAGTTCCGAACCTGCATTCTAACTTTTCAGGCGAAGTTCTCTGAGAGGCAACAAATATGAAAAATAAAGCCTCTAAACAGATATGACAACCGAGATTTTGGAGGTGTTACTTTTTTCAGTCGTGGGTACTGACTGCCAAATTATTAAGGCTCATTTGTATTTACACGATGAATTTAATAACTGCCAATTATTTTGTTTTGTCAACTTGTTTGCTTTCAGGACCCAACCGAAGTTCAATGACTGCATGTTGCCGTTGTGGTCGTATTGTTCTTCAGACATTTCCCGTTGATCCACACTCTAATATCAGTGCAGTTGTTTGTGAAAAGTTAATTTATTCTGAAAATCGGTACTTAACTCCTAGTTCCCAGAAAGCTCATGGTAACATTCATTCACAATGTTCATCTAACCAAGATCCCCATACTCCCACAAATCATCCTTCTTATCAGTTTGACTTATCGTCATTGAACTCTTGTCCGTCTGGTTCTACTTCTCTGTCTAACCGATCCAGAAACGTGGAGGCTAGAAAGTCGGAAACTGCTGAAAGATCGGTGAATGCCGTGCTTCAACTGATTGACCAAACAGGAAATAATTCTGTTTTAAATGCAGTGAATCGCAGTATAACTGAAGTTATAACAGGTCTCTTTGTTGATATGGGTGAATATGGATCCGCCTCTAGTCTTCAAGTGAGTTTTTATTAATATAGCTGGAGTGTTTTATTGTAAATTTTCTTCTTCACCGACCACTGTATAACAAGAGTCAGTCAGTCAGTCAGCTACAACGTAGGACCAGGCACATATGTGCATCGGTCCAGGTTGCCATACCTCATTAGCACAACAAGATGAACACCGGATTCATAGGAGTGGTTAGGTCAAAGGTTGCAATAAGGATATAGTATAGGAAGGAAGAATTAGTTCGTAGAAAGAAAGATATGAAGTGATTTTAATCTCTTAGTTTAAGGGAAGACAGGGAGTGTATACACCGACGCCATTGTGATCGATTCTGAGCCATGTCACCAAGAGTCTCCAACCATTGGTTACGAAAGTCACGCGGACCCCAACCAAGTAGTCTGCATCTACCAACATGGCTAAGACTAGAAGTTAGTGACTTCAAGCACTGATGCCACGTTTTGGTTTGGCCGCCCCTAACTTTTTTCCAACCATCCCCTACACCGGTTAGCATTGCACGTCGTGGTAATCGGTGTTCAGGCATACGTAATACGTGGCCCAACCATCTCAGTCGATGAAGATTCACAACCTCATCAACTGATTTACCATCGTTACCTAATACCCTGCGTCTAACCTCACTATTACTTACCCGGTGATCCCAGCAGACGCCAGCAATATTTCTAAGGCATCTGTGGTCAAATACTTGTAGCTTACGGGTGTCTTCTACTCTTAAAGGCCATGTTTCGCTGCCGTAAAGTAAGACAGAACGGACTGCCGCGCAGTATACTCGTCCTTTTATTGATAGACGGATATCTCGCCTTCGCCAAAGGTGACGTAAGTTGGCAAAAGCCAAGCGAGCTTTTCGAATCCGTGCTGAGATTTCGTCAGACACCAACCCATTAGGGCTGATCAGACTTCCAAGATAAGTGAAGTTGTCAACGCGTTCGACTACTTCACTCCCTATCCTTAGTTTAGGTGTTGATGCAGACCAGTCCTGAAGCAACAACTTGCATTTAGAGGGAGAGAAGCGCATCCCAAACATTCTGGCATTGTTGCTTAGTGCTACCAGAAGACTCTGCATTTTGTCAGCGTCTTCACCAAACAGGACTATGTCATCTGCGTATTCTAAGTCGATAAGTGGACCTCCTGGCAGGAGATCAATACCCGAGAATTCAGTCGACGAGAGTGTTATTTCCATCAATAGGTCAATGATGAAGTTAAACAAAAATGGAGAAAGTGGACAGCCTTGACGGACACCACTTGAAGTTGCAAAAGTAGATGACAGTTCGCCATAAGCCCTGACTCGACTAGTAGTGTTCGAGTAAAGAGCCTTCACAAGGTTTATGTACTTCTGAGGTACGCCTTTCAATGACAGACACTGCCACAGAATCTCGCGGTCTACAGAGTCAAACGCTGCTTTTAAGTCAAGAAAGACCACCATCGTCGGACGCCGATAGGTATGCCTGTGTTCTAGAACCTGACGAATGGTGAATATGTGGTCGATGCAGCCACGACCAGGTCTAAAGCCAGCTTGGTTCTCTCGAGTTTGTAGTTCACGAGTCTTAGTTAGACGTCTGATAATTATCGAGGCCAGTATTTTAGATACTATGTTTGTTAAACTAATCCCTCTGTGGTTGTCACAGGATGATTTTGACCCTTATATATTGGGACGATAAGTGATTGCGACCAGTCAGATGGGATAAAGTCTAATTCCCAGATCTTAGCTAAAATATTAGTCAACCTAATCGCTAAAATTGGACCACCATCCTTAAAGACCTCTGGAGCCAATCCATCTGGACCAGCTGCCCTTCCTCGTTTCAGATTAACTATAGCCTTTTGAACTTCAGCAAGAGTTGGGGGACCTACTTCAATGTTCCATTCACATTGTCTGGGAATGGAGGGTAGTTGTAGAGTAGCTGAAGGCCAGCTGAACTGTTCTCTAAAATGTTCCGCCCATCGTTCTAAACGTCTGGACTGGGAGCAGATGAGAGTATTATCTTTTTCCGAAATAATCTCACTTACACTTGACTTATTAATTCCAGTTTCTTTTATTAGTCTGTAAAGCTGTCTTGTGTTTCCTATAGTCGCCGCCTTTTCCATCTCTTTTGCTTTCGTTACCCACCACTGCTCACGGTCGTTCCTTAGACTTTTTCTTAACCTAGATCTGATTTGTTTTCGCTCTTCATCATGTTCAGAACCTGATGGGACGACTTTGCGAGAATCCATCAGTGTGACAGACCTTGAAGAAATCCACTGGTCCTTTGAAACTCTGTGGTTTAAGTTGCTAATAGATGTCACTGCTGTTTCCACAGCTGATTGTATGCCCTTCCAAGCAACATCTGGGTCAGCCTCGTCTTCACAACTACCTAAGTGTGACCTCAGTTGTTCCTGGAACCTACTTTTGGTTTCCTCGCTACTCAACTCAGTTCTAACGGGTCTTTTTAATGTGGCTTTTTTGCGTCCAGTGAGGCGCAAGCAGATGCGTGCCCGTATTAGGGCATGGTCGGAGTCCAAGCAGGTACTCCAGAATGAGCGACAATCTTCTACCGACCCTCTCCAACGATGACTGATGGCAATATGGTCTATTTGAGTCCATCGTTGGTTTGGTGTAGGGGGTCGCCATGTTAGACGATGTCTCTCCTTATGCTTAAAATTTGTGTTTGCTAAAAATAAACGATTGTCTGAGCATAGCTGCAGCAGACGATCACCATTATCTGTTCGCTGTGTCGGAATACTAAAATATCCACCTAAATGCCTTTCTGTTTGGTTTAAGCTACCTATCTGAGCATTAAAATCACCTGCTACGAGTACTATGTCTGAGCGTTTAGCTTTCTGAAGAAGTTCAGAAAGCTTTCTGTAAAATTCATCTTTCACTTCATCTGAGCTGCAGTCAGTGGGAGCGTAGACAGAAACGACAAAAAGGCAACGACGTGTGTCCCTATCCTTCCGAGTTCTTACGCAGCCGTTCAGCCGAACAGCACATAGACGACTGTTGACGGGGATCCACTCTAGCAGTGCTTGTTCGGCCCTCATGCTTAGTGCTATGCCTACACCTGCCAGTCCACGAGAGCTGGCCATCGGGTCACCAGATACACGGAGGGTGTATCTCGTTGGCTCTCCGTTCTGCCGAGGTGAGGTCAAGTGAATGACCACACTGGGATCCTGTATGCGTGTTTCAGAGACACAGCATACATCAATGGTAAGAGACTCTAGGGTTTTAGCCAAGGAAGCCTGTTGACCGATTTGACATAGAGTGCGTACGTTGAAAGCTCCAATGTGTAGTTTGGAGCGAGGTTTCAGTAGACCTGGGACAGAGTTTTGAGCACTAGAATCGTTGGCTATGGTGACACTTGAAGAGGAAGCCGAAGGAGGAAGTTTAGGGTTGAAAGTCGATGTAGGAGGAATAATAGGAATTGAAGAGGAAGGTTGATTATGAATACAGTGATCTTGGGTGCTGTTAGAGGTATGATGGCGGTTATCACTTCCCGGTTGCCCACACCGAGGAAGGGTTCTTCTGGAGGTACCTGAAAAGGAAATTGGATTAGAGGTGGTCTCAGTGACCTGAGAGCGTGACCGCAGTGCCCAAGGGACAACTGCTTGAGGCCGGTCGCGCACGGCCTTTTCGTGGAAGGTTTTCGACGTGTTAGCTCCGTTCTTCAAAGGGCCTTACCGCCGGAGACGGAGATCCGTGAGGTAAGGTGAGGTGTGCATTTTTAGGGTCGACCTTTTCTAACCCCACCCCTCCTTGTGGGAAGGCAGCATCGCTGTCATGCTGGTTGTCTGAAGGAAACACCTTACTGCTGTCACACCTCTGTACAGTCAGCAGTACGACTTCGCCTTCGGACCTTGGGTTTGTTGCTTTTAGTCTTACCGCTCTTCAACCGACCTGTCTGACATGGTAGGACCTTGAGGAACAGTTGTTCCAGCCAGTATAGCTCGGTTGCTTCTTCACGATAGGCAAGCCCGACCACCACGTCAAGGTAGCAACAACGGTCGGGTGTATAACAAGAATCCCACTACCCATCACTCCAAATTCTGCTACTTGGTTATCACACAAAACTACTGCCCTAAGAATATGTAATTTTCAAGATTATTCAGATATTTAATTTAAAAAGATCAAACTTAGTAATTTGTTTGAATTCTCAAGTGATATTTATTATGTATTTAAACACATAAACATTGCTACAAGGAAGCACCAAATAGATATGCGCCACACAAGTCACTTGATTTGTGTGTGAGTTCTGATACTGCCCGGGTGCCCAAACCGAAGCAGGTGATTTTCTTAGGGAGCCATACCCCTAGCCTTGGGCCTAAAGCTCTAATCCACAAGTCAGTGGAGCAACGTCAGGGGGTGCAGTCCCATGGTAGTGAGTGGTCAACAGTTGGTTCATACCCCATTTGTTCCCTTGGGATCCTGGAACCCATGTGCACAATTGGTTTGGAATCAAGGTTTTCGAATTCCTGTAAGTGGATCCTCCATATCCACCAACCTGGTTAAAACTCCAGACATTCGCTTTTCGTCCTCTCAATTTAGTAAACAACAGTAATGCTGCGAGAAGGCAGTGAGTAAGACTTCCCTGACAGTGGTTGTATGCAAGTGGCCATGTCAGAGCATTTAGAGAGAGCTGACTTTCCCTGCTCTAGGCCATACCATGGCATTTGGGGGCTCTCAAGTAATATCCAAATCTACTTTCGAACATGTAAGACATACCTCAATAATTACTCTACTATATACAGTAAATCTAAAGATGAATTAGCTTAATGTATCCTTACAATGAGTTAATCTCATCTCTCTTCTTTATAAGTTTATTACATACTTCTATCTTCCCAAAGTACTGTTAACTGTTGCTAGTTTGTTATGCAACTAATCTTCTGTTCTTTTTTCCTTGACAGGATGTTACACATCGTATTTGCCGGTGGGAACTAAGTTTATGCAGTCCTATCTATAATACTCCTTATTTGTCTTCATCTGGTGAACGTGATTCAGCAAGAAGTGTGTGCTTGCCCATGCCAACCAACGTTGCTGTATCATATAACAATAATAGTCTTGTTGTTCCTCACGCTCGTTTGTTTAATGATTCATCTGTCTGTCTCTCACCAGATGGACGCCTTCTTGCTGCATTTGTTATTCCTCGAGAAACATCGTGCTATACATTACAGTCATCTCAGTCTTCCGCTTTACTCGGTACACTTCTCGCTGTGTATCGTCTGCAACCAGAACATAACCGTGGTCAGTGTCTGTTCGCTCGCCGCTTCACCGCATCTAGTCCTGTATGTGTTGACTTCAGTCCTTTAGGAGATTTTTTGGCAGTCGGGTTAGCAACTACACGCATACCTTCAGAACCATTCTCTACCACGAGTGATTCGTCTACACAAGAAAGTCTTTTAAGATATGGTAGTTCTTCATCGCTCCAGGACCATTCAGACCTCCGTCAGCCAAACGTGAAATGTTCGTGCCAAAGACAATCCTCTGTCGGTAAGTGTTTCGATATTATTACTCTCTACTTTGATTTGAATGAAATGAGCATATCGGTGGAACAACACGATTCATAATTAAATAATTTTTGTCCTTTGAACAGACACATCCGGATTTTGTAAATTGTACAGTTATTTTAACAAATAGTTCCACTGTCGTGATTTAAAGGTTATTCTGTATCATTTATTGTAATAACTGCAGACAAACTATCTGTAACTGTTACGCTCTCCACCATCTAATGTCCCCTAGATACTGTATTTCTTTCGACTTTTTGCAAACCAGAACAAGCATTGAGGGGGAACAATATATATTTCAATTAACCTGAAAATACAAAGATATAATACTAGTAAGATTATATGGAATTTACATGAGCACCTCTGTTCATTCACTAGCATTGATTGATGGGAAAACGGAGAAATCAACACATTCCGGTGTGAGTCCGATCTCAACAGGGCTAGTCAAAGTCCTATGTTGTGCAAACAATAACAATATGGTTTATCACTAGTAATTTTTAATCAAATAGGTGAAATGCATTTGTAATAAGTGTGTTTTAAAGTTCTACCTATGCATACTAAAGCCAATCTATCCTGGTTCTTCATGAACGTGGCAATAATTTTTCATTATAATATTAAACAAGAGACGAATTCAGAATTATTACTGTATGCCACTATTTAAGGCGTGATTGGTTTCAATAACAATATCTATCATTTTACTTAGACTTCGTAGTATTATCTTGTTTCGTTTCAAATATTTGATATCCTTTACCATTTACACTATCCTGTTTATAGCCCCTATTTTGTCGTTTTTGCTTGTGCCAAATGGATTTATTAACTGACACTTATTGGAAAATCCATTTGTTTAGTAGGCTACTCTGACGGTTGCAATAAGCTTAGATTGATATATGTCAGCTTTTTAAATGTACCATTGATGTTTAAAGTTAGAGTTGGGTATTATCAACCAGATTACCTTATATCTATAATCACAATGAATTTCAGAAATCAGTCATTAAATATTATAATTTTACCGAATCGCGTTACATTATTATGTGTGTCAATTAACTTTCAATATTAAAGACCAATCATGTTTTCACTTTAACTGTATATTAATTTACACTTCACTACCATTTATTATGCATTAAGAGTCCAGTGTTATTTTTTTACATGTTTGCTCTTAGAATATGGTGATTCATGTTATGTTTTTCCTGTTACTGTGGTATTTCCTTGCATTTCTTCACCATAGCGTGCGTTTTCCACCTTCAACGTTCCAAAACACATAAGGGTCAAATTCGTCGGAGCCTGCGTGATATTCAAAATATCAAACATCCTGCACTTTTGGATCCTGTCTCATCAAGATATCTTGAATTATCTAGTTCATCTTCAGAAAAATTAGATCGCTGGCACCGATTATTACTTTCAGCTCAAAGTGGAATCTCTTTGAATACCATTGTTTGGAATGCCAATGGCAGCATTCTTTACGGTACTACCAAAGGTCTCATCGTAATTTCTCATGGAAATCAATCTTCTTCCGTATCAATTCTACCACTCCGTTGTACCAAGTCACATATGCAGTCTGTGAACGACTGCGAAGTTTCTTATAGAAGAAAACACTTTATAAATCAAGCACAAACTATTACTAGTTCCTCTAACTTTTCCGTTCCTCAGTCTCGTGCTGTAATTTAAATACTGACTTTTTAAATCTATGTATATTTAGGTTTACTGTGCATTTAGTTTATCTTAATTTTTGCTCATTTTACTGGTAAACCCATCCGTAATCATATTTCTACTGGATTTAAACAAAAATAGACGCTTTATGGCGATTCCAATCCCACATTCAGAGTACCTATCTTAATTTTCTATCTGGAAACCGGTAGTGATTAAAATAAAAAGTTTATTTTTTATAACTCCGTTCCATTTTTTAAAAATATTTAAGTTTATTATACTACAGTTCATATAGTGTTGTTTTCTCACTATGTAAAACAGATTTCTACTAAATCGATCATGTTTGTTTATAAACCTGCTCACTGACTATTCAGGAATTGTTTGTTCACTATATTGTACGATTTTAACTATTTTCCCACTTGCGTTTTACCAAAAGCAAAGATATTTTGTTTCATACTAATCGTTTCATTTTTGTTACGCAGAAAGTTAATATTTATGTTAGAACTTGTTATTATGTGAAAGGTTTACTTCCTTGTGTTTGTTTTCTTCTTTTGTATAATCTACCTCAGCTATGTCCCAGTGATCTTTAATGTTACTAACTCGGTTTTACTTTTATTTTAAAATTCTAACTCATTTCTTATTAAAAATATATATTTCCGGTTTGAGTTTTATCTGGTCTCTTTTTTTATTCATAAACTTATTTTCTTTAATTGAGATTACAAAGTATCTATGATGAATGTGCAACACAGTGAATTCTTTTAAGTTTATGTAAACTACAAGTAACTTCAGTTATTTAGATACTTCTAGTTGTTTCCAATTGTTTTCCATCGAAGTCAGTTCTGAACCTTGTAAGTTAATCGTACCTATTGTTATATTTTCTCTCATACAACAGTGAAAAAACGGGATAAGTCACCACTCATTTATTTTATCACATATTTTTTCTAGTAGCTTTACGATTTTACAGGACATATATATCTTTTTAGCTTACTCATTTCGTTATTCTTCTATTCGATATTTTTCGATTATCATTCGATGGTGGTTAGTGCTTTCCATAAAATATCTACAGTATCCAATTTATTCATTGATCTCGGAAGCTAAAAATATCAAAAACACATTCGTCCTGCGTATGCCTGAACACCGATTACCACGACGTGCAATGCTAACCGGTGTTGGAGATGGTTGGAAGAAAGTTAGGGGCGGCCAAATCAGAAAGTGGCATCAGTACTTGAAATCACTAACTTCTAGTCTGAGCCATGTTGGTAGATGCAGACTACTTGGTTGGGGTCCGCGTGACTATCGTAACCAATGGTTGGAGACTCTTGGTGACATGGCTCAGAATCGACCACAACGCCGTAGGTGTATACACTCTCTGTCTTTCCTTAAACTAAAAGATTAAGATTGATTCATATCTTTCTTTCTACGAACTAATTCTTTCTTTCTGTACTATGTTTTTATGTGCAATCTTTCTTTTATATATTACCACCTCTGAATTAACTACTTTTATGAATCCGGTGTCCATCTTGCTGTGCTAATGAAGTATGGCAACTTGGATCGATGCAAATATGTGCCTGGTCCTACATTGTAGCTGACTGAGTTGCTAGTTATTCAGATGATCACCGGTATCCATCACGGAGTTACTCATTTCTAAAATATATATAACTTCGTAGGGGAGGTAGTCTGTTTCCTGAGTTCCTATGTAGATCCATAGAATCTATAAGAATTGAACCAAGAAATCTTGACCTTAAATAGCTAATGTTTGCTTGCTTTCGTCAAATAATGAACGGAATTTGTTTATTGGTTGTCGACCAAAAATTTCCAACAGCGATTCGTGACTAATTTAGAACCCCCTAATCGGTCCAAATTATTTTGTTGAGAGATATGGACATCGACCGGCTTCATAGTTATTTGATACAGCGTTCATTTACATCGACGGTACTCATTCTACGAAGTTAACTTGGTTTTTTCAAGTAATTTATCAGGTATGGATTCGTATACTTTGAGCTACGCTCTAAGTGTGAGCGCTAGCAATACTATCGGGCTCCCTGAACTAAGGTAGGCAACGTGGAGTTCGGGCCTGTGACTTATTGACTGAATTGAACGCTTTAACCATTGAACCACCATCCTTGGTAATGTGCGGTGTAGTTTGCCCTTTATATTTGGGAAATAACCATGTCCATTATTGTGAAACCGCTCATATAGAAATGCACATTTCTATCGGAAACCTTTGTTAAACAAAAAGGTTGTGAACCTCACTTTGCTTAACATTAGATGATGGACGTTTACAGTCATTTTGGAAGGACTGAAATTACTAATATGTAGGATCGTTTCTGAATTTAGGGATGATCTGAATTAGAGTCATTCTAAAAGTTATGGACTTTTAGTGAAACTAAAAACAGTCACTTTCTGTAAGTCTCGGAATATAAAAATAATACAATCCGTTCTCATATCTGGACTCTATCTTGGCTAAGGTTTTTTCAATATGACTTTAAAACCGCTCATTTTTCTGATCGCTATATTTAAATATTTTACTACTAAAGTACATAAAATTCAACTAAAATAGTGTGATGTACAAAAGTGATCGTAAATTTATCGTCAACTGTATGCGATGAATCCTATATTTGAAATCGACTGATCGTTATTTATAAATGTGACCTCAAATGTTAACCCCGAATGACATATATATCGACCTGCTATAAGCAATGGTTGGATACATTAAACAGATCGATCTATAAACAATGAAGTTTGTAATTTGTCTCATCAGTATGATACATCTGAAGATTGGTTGTGGTTTCTGTGCGAATTTCTATTCAGTATGTGAAATGAGAAAATTAAGTATTCCTTCTAAACTATTTTCAGGTACTTCTAACTGGTTACGGTATTTATAAATAGTATTTCTAACCAAAGGGTATCTTCTGTTTTTGAGACTTACAAATACACAGCAGTGATATTTATGTAGCTTGCATCTGTTTGTTTTGAGTCACTCATCATTTACGCAATCCTATTTGACTAATCTCGATCGCTGATCGTTCCAGTTTATGAGAAGAGACAAATTGTCTTATGATAACCGCAAAAATCAGCCTAATAAACATGGTGTCTAAAATACTAACCTGTAATAATCCGACGCTTAACTAGGGCTCATATATAGCAAACCTGGGAAAACGAGGGTTGTTTTTGACATACATGTGGATGTGTTAATCGAATATTTACTGTTCAGGTTTTAGAACACATGCATTTTTAACAGCTAACTAAAGTTGTGTCTCTTGGCCTTAAAGTAGTATTTGATCCTGCTGATCGAGTGGTGTTGTGACAATGTTTCTTACCGAATGCCCTCTTCTCGTACACTATTATTTCGAACTGACAAATTGGGCCGGTGGTGGGAAACAATGAGTGAAGTCACAGAAGCATTTACTCTGTCTTCCCTTGGATCTCGAGTTTGAAAATGTTTTTTCGTTCTTCTCGAACTATATTGTCTGTAATAATTCTTTCTGCTACTACCGATACCATTATCTTGATAATTTCATCCCTCTATCGTGTGGCATGGTCTTAAATCACTCACGGTATACTACGCAGCAATTGTTTCTGTTCTACTTTACAGCTACGAAACGTGGCCATTAAGTGTACGGTAACTCATAGGTTACAAGTATATGCTCACAGATGTCTTAGAAATATTGCTCACATCTGCTGGGATCACCGGGTAAGTAATGGTGAGGTTAGACGCAGTGTATTAGGAAATTATGGTAAAACAGTTGATCAGGTTGTGAATCTACATCGACTGAGGTGGTCGGGTCATGTGTTGCTTATGCTTGAACACCGATTACCACGAAGCGCAATACTGACTAGTGTTGGAGATGGCTAGGAGAAAGTTAGGGGCGGCCAAATCAGAAAGTGGCATCAGTACTTGAAATCACTAACTTCTAGTCTGAGCCATGTTGGTAGATGCAGACTACTTGGTTGGGGTCCGCGTGACTATCGTAACCAATGGTTGGAGACTCTTGGTGACATGGCTCAGAATCGACCACAACGCCGTAGGTGTATACACTCTCTGTCTTTCCTTAAACTAAAAGATTAAGATTGATTCATATCTTTCTTTCTACGAACTAATTCTTTCTTTCTGTACTATGTTTTTATGTGCAATCTTTCTTTTATATATTACCACCTCTGAATTAACTACTTTTATGAATCCGGTGTCCATCTTGCTGTGCTAATGAAGTATGGCAACTTGGATCGATGCAAATATGTGCCTGGTCCTACATTGTAGCTGACTGAGTTGCTAGTTATTCAGATGATCACCGGTATCCATCACGGAGTTACTCATTTCTAAAATATATATAACTTCGTAGGGGAGGTAGTCTGTTTCCTGAGTTCCTATGTAGATCCATAGAATCTATAAGAATTGAACCAAGAAATCTTGACCTTAAATAGCTAATGTTTGCTTGCTTTCGTCAAATAATGAACGGAATTTGTTTATTGGTTGTCGACCAAAAATTTCCAACAGCGATTCGTGACTAATTTAGAACCCCCTAATCGGTCCAAATTATTTTGTTGAGAGATATGGACATCGACCGGCTTCATAGTTATTTGATACAGCGTTCATTTACATCGACGGTACTCATTCTACGAAGTTAACTTGGTTTTTTCAAGTAATTTATCAGGTATGGATTCGTATACTTTGAGCTACGCTCTAAGTGTGAGCGCTAGCAATACTATCGGGCTCCCTGAACTAAGGTAGGCAACGTGGAGTTCGGGCCTGTGACTTATTGACTGAATTGAACGCTTTAACCATTGAACCACCATCCTTGGTAATGTGCGGTGTAGTTTGCCCTTTATATTTGGGAAATAACCATGTCCATTATTGTGAAACCGCTCATATAGAAATGCACATTTCTATCGGAAACCTTTGTTAAACAAAAAGGTTGTGAACCTCACTTTGCTTAACATTAGATGATGGACGTTTACAGTCATTTTGGAAGGACTGAAATTACTAATATGTAGGATCGTTTCTGAATTTAGGGATGATCTGAATTAGAGTCATTCTAAAAGTTATGGACTTTTAGTGAAACTAAAAACAGTCACTTTCTGTAAGTCTCGGAATATAAAAATAATACAATCCGTTCTCATATCTGGACTCTATCTTGGCTAAGGTTTTTTCAATATGACTTTAAAACCGCTCATTTTTCTGATCGCTATATTTAAATATTTTACTACTAAAGTACATAAAATTCAACTAAAATAGTGTGATGTACAAAAGTGATCGTAAATTTATCGTCAACTGTATGCGATGAATCCTATATTTGAAATCGACTGATCGTTATTTATAAATGTGACCTCAAATGTTAACCCCGAATGACATATATATCGACCTGCTATAAGCAATGGTTGGATACATTAAACAGATCGATCTATAAACAATGAAGTTTGTAATTTGTCTCATCAGTATGATACATCTGAAGATTGGTTGTGGTTTCTGTGCGAATTTCTATTCAGTATGTGAAATGAGAAAATTAAGTATTCCTTCTAAACTATTTTCAGGTACTTCTAACTGGTTACGGTATTTATAAATAGTATTTCTAACCAAAGGGTATCTTCTGTTTTTGAGACTTACAAATACACAGCAGTGATATTTATGTAGCTTGCATCTGTTTGTTTTGAGTCACTCATCATTTACGCAATCCTATTTGACTAATCTCGATCGCTGATCGTTCCAGTTTATGAGAAGAGACAAATTGTCTTATGATAACCGCAAAAATCAGCCTAATAAACATGGTGTCTAAAATACTAACCTGTAATAATCCGACGCTTAACTAGGGCTCATATATAGCAAACCTGGGAAAACGAGGGTTGTTTTTGACATACATGTGGATGTGTTAATCGAATATTTACTGTTCAGGTTTTAGAACACATGCATTTTTAACAGCTAACTAAAGTTGTGTCTCTTGGCCTTAAAGTAGTATTTGATCCTGCTGATCGAGTGGTGTTGTGACAATGT